CAGGAATGACAACTGGATTTTTTTTAAAAAAATTCTTCTACTTATTTCATTTTTTTCGAACAATTTAATAAAAATAAATCAGTATATTTTTAATTAAAAGGAAAATTCACATAATATTTGTATACTAATAATAAAAAATTTACTTCATTTAGTGTCCACTTTTACCTCTTTTATTTTAGTTTTAGTAAATTTTTTTTATGTCTGTATTAATTACTAGAGAGATTTTTTATTATCTTTTTTAGCAGAGACACAAAGTGTATTTTTTTCCCACTAATTTGAATAAAAGAAATAAATATGAAAAGGATGAACAGTGACAGCACAGTGCCACTTTGAAGTGTGAAAAGGTTGTAGACTTCTTATTTCACTGTGAAGTGGTCATGTACCATAGTGAATTTTGGTTATTTTATTGTATTTAATTTATGATTTGATTTATTATTATCATTGGTCAAGAGATGTACGTAGCATTGTAAATGACTAAAAGGTAAGATGTTCCATTCTCAAATCTCAATGTTTACGCTCTCAAATAGTCAAATGATTTGTTATAATGTTTTATATAAATTAAATCAAAACATATTCTTTTAACAATAATTAACTTAATCTCTCAATATTCCCTCTTTTTAAAAATAACCCGTCATTCTTAATTTTTAAAATTAATTGTGTATATCTTCTTTATTATATTAAATATATTTTTTTTTACAACGTGTTACACATAACAGGATTACAACTTGATTTGTAGTAGTACAAGAGAAAGAAAGAAGAGAAAAATAGTATGGATTTCTGGAAGCTTTTTGTGATTGCATTGATGCCAAATCTGAAAGTACTGTTGATTACTATTGTTGGCACTTTCCTTGCAACTAATCACTTTGACATACTCAACGTAAATGTCAGGAAAAACATGAATACTGTAAGTTTCATTTCTCTCCCTCAATCACAACCAAAATAGTGTTCCAAATTTAGTCATTTGCAAATTCCATTGCTAATAGTTATTGCTCCTTGTAAATGCTAAATACTAAAATAATAGATCTGATTTTCTCTATGCTTATTAAATTAATGTTTGTAATATACAATGGATCTCGATCCCAATATATAGTTTTTAATAAAGTTTAACTTACAATGGAAACTATAATATGTATTATGTGAGAGAATAAAAGTGAGAAGTTTTTTTAAAGGAACTAGGGTACGTTAAGTGATGGGTAAATTCGGTAGAATACATGATGTTTGAGATTTTATTTTCATTGTTATTATTGTAAAATAAAATTAAAATAAAGAGTCATTTAAAAGAAAATTGAAAATAATTAAGGGCATGTATCTGTTTGAGGTCACACTAGTAATCTTCACGTGCTGATCCAGGATCTTGAGATCGAACGAGAGTTTTGAGTTGAGAAGTAAAAGGAGAGGTACTCGTAAAAGACACTTTGACGTTTAAGTTAGGACAAACACAAATATCAATAGTGACAATAAATGAACAATAACCATATCTTATTTTATGTGATTATTTATACTGATCATAATAGACTTGGACATGGTAGGCCTCATTCCTTGATTACCAATTAGGTAATATGATGGTTAATGATGGATTATTCCTTAACCTCGTGCTATCCTCGTTAATTGTATATCAAGATTCAATAGCATCAGTACCTTAGGAGACTTAAATTGCACACTTTGGATTCATTTGTCTCGGCTCCCAATATGGTTGAGACGATGGGGAAGTCGAAGAGTCACGTCTTTTGGGCCCTTAGATTGAATAGATCTAATAGTTCGTAGAGGTGTGTCATTTAGGGTTTGCACTCCACGTACACTATAAATTGGGTTAGGGCACCACTTTGCGCACACTTATGCTTCTAAGACTAAGAGTCGAGACTAATAGTTGAGATGGAGACTAAGAGTTGAAACTGAGAGTATAGACCGAGAGCATCGCATTATTCGAAAGGTACGTGATTTTTATTTAGAATGTCGAATGCCAAAGGGGTTTTGCGTGCCAAGTTAGTGGTGGTTAGCTCTTCTTTCGGGGGTTCAAAGTAAGTTGTCCTCGTCGAGGATCAAGTTAGATTCGTTATCATTACCCACACTATCTAGTGACTATGCATCATCATCGAATGCTCCAGGAAGCATTGAGGTTGTCCAATAGGGTGACCGAGACAAGAGTGAGGATGAAGAATCCTCAACCTTTAATTTGCTTCTGAAGGTCGACCTCGTAGCTCAGCACGAGTTTCTTCGAGCTAAAAGTACCTGCCCGTGGCTATTCTAGGCTATGAGTGGGTACACGAGGAGGTTGCTAGCATGTATTCTTGCTATACTGATAAGGCTTCCATCGGGTTGCTGGTTACGACTAACAAGTTCATCAAGTTTCGGGCTATTGAGGATCCATTCCCCATCATCTTGCAGCCTGTCGGAATGACGGTGGACCTAACCCAGATTTTGTGTTTCTAGGTCAAGAGAATTCACTATAAAAATACATAAATTTTTAACGGATATAATTAGTTAGTAAAAGGGAATATTCATCGAAAAGAGAGAATTTTTGACAGATTTTCAACGGATGTAAATCCGTCGAAAAAAGGGGCGTTGAAAAATTTTTTTTGTCAAAAATAATTTAATCTATCAAAAAATTTTGACGGATGATTCTGTGGTAAATATCCGTCGATAATTTTTGACAGATATATCCGTTGAAAATTACTGACGGATATATCTGTAAAAAATTATCGACAGATATTTTGTCAGAAATTTCATCGGAAAGTTTTTATTTAATTTTAATAAATTTATTAATGTAATATCCCTCATATTTGACCTCTCAAGGGCTTCATTCCACGACACTTTACTTTTAAGCGTGTTTTGTTCTTACTCGCATACTTTCTAGGAAACTTTCTAGAAGGTCATCTGTTCCTACTAAATTACTCTAAGTCAAGCACGCTTAACTATGAGGTTGTAATGAGATAAGTTACCGAAAAGTAGATACATCTTGTTAGTATAAGTAGTTCAAATTAATTTCTTTAAACTATCATCAACTATACAATCTCATACTTGTACAATCTTAGGGTCCCTCTCATTCCAATGTGTTCGGAATGTTACAAAAATATAATAATATATATAATAGTTATATTATATTTAATTATATTAACCAATAATAATAATTGTACTATATTTAATTAATCTTTATTTGTATATAAACTTACTTTTATAATTAACAATCTACTTATTTCTATTTAAAATTAATATTATGATACAATTTAAATTTTTTATGATAAATTTAAGAGTTTAAATACTATTTTATATTTTTTAAAATATTATTTTTATAATTTATAATGATAATATATTTTATAAAATTATAAATATTTATTTATTACATATTTATAAATTAAATTTTAATATTTTAAATAAATTATTAATTAATTTAATATATTTATTTACCTTAAATAAAACATATAAAATTTAAAAAATGTATTTATCCTT